AACACAAAATGCAGATCAGAGTATTATATAAGAACAAAAAGTCATAACCAATTATGGTGTTTAAGTATAGTGTTCGAGAGAAACCATAAACCATAATAGATATAACACAAAATGCAGATCAGAGTATTATATAAGAACAAAAAGTCATAACCAATTATGGTGTTTAATTATAGTGTTCGAGAGAAACCATAAACCATAATAGATATAACACAAAATGCAGATCAGAGTATTATATAAGAACAAAACATTAATGGAAATTTTATGTTAAATGAAAGAAAATCCAACTACAAAATGCTATAACATATCATTAACATAAAATCTGAAATAATTCATAATAATAGCAGTTAAAATTATTGGAACACAAAATCAATAAACGTAATATAAACATTAATGCTGATCAACAAAAATATTAACATAAAGCTAGCAATAATTAAATAATAGACCCAACTAAAATACCCTTTACATATAACATAGATACCAAATCATAATGCTAAAAAATTAAGTAAACAAAATTCAAGATACTTAATATTTCTGAAAACAATAATAACAACACAATAGTTTATAAATCAAAATATATTACACCATTATGATACTATTAAAAGCAATAATAACAGCACACGATAATCTACAAGTCAAAATATATTACACCAATAATGCAAATAAAGATATCGAAACACGTAATACAATAATAGTATTTTAAGATTACTACAGCTGCTTACCAAACATTCACATATTGAATATGATATCTATATATATGCGTCATAAATACACCTATGTATAATATTTTGTAAAATAAACTTTTATAAGGTTTTCTAAACATCGTTGGGCAGCATTAAAATTGATTAATAATAGTACGAAGCCTGTGAAGTGTTACAGGAAATGTTGCATATATGCATATAAATTAGTATCTTCTTTATCACGCGAAGGTAGTTAACCTTCGTCATAATTGTATTAAACCCAGTCAGCTCATTTCCATTTCAGTCTTCAGGTTAATATATTTTAAATGTAGCTTTAACACATAAATACATGTTTATATTGGCATAATAATTAAAGTTGGTAAGGGGAATTGTTTCTGAATACTAGTTATTTTTAGTTTAACAGGCCCCCCTCACGAAATAGTGGGGACATTTTTCTTGCAAAAAAAAACTATCCAATCCGGTTTTTTCTCAATTTGAAATTAAATTTTTTGAATATTTTTATTGGCTAAAAAAGAAGGCACTTCCCGCACTCTTTTAGCGTTGTGGCTGCTAAAAGTGATAAGGTGACTGAAATCCGTCAGCGCATCACGAGCTTAACGGCCAAGCACAAGAAACATGGAAGTCTCCAAATGACACGCAGAGGAATTCCGGAATCGTTTAGAACCACCTTGGTAGATATTGTGCAGCAAGCCGAGTGCATATTATGCCTGTAGTTGCTTTCAAAGTGTT